AATCAATGAATTTCATTTAACAAAAAAATTATATACTACTAAATGAGGATGTTATGTTCGCGTTGCATACGCAGATACACGCACACACATACATGAGTGTGTCTGTGTGCGCACGCAATTCATTCATGCATGTATGTGTGTGTGTGTGTGTGTGTGTGTGTGTGTGTGTGTGTGTGTGTGTGTGTGTGTGTGTGTGTGTGTGTGTGTGTGTGTGTGTGTGTGTGTGTGTGTGTGTGTGTGTGTGTGTGTGTGTGTGTGTGTGTGGTGTGTGTGTGTGTGTGTGTGTGTGTGTGTGTGTGTGTTGTGTGTGTGTGTGTGTGTGTGTGTGTGTGTGATGAATATATTTTGTTTGCACACATTCAAGATGAGTTTTATTTAATCTGCATTCACAAAAACTGAACTACAGTATTTATAATACAATATCGGTAAAATCATTACTGGAATACTTTTTGTTGAATGAAATGAATAACTTCTACATTTGTACTTTAAAAGGATTATCTGATGTTGCGTAATGAGACATGTTTTGAAAACACATATCAATTATTTAGGATAAGGGGATTTTATGTATGCATATATATACAAATAAGTAATACATACATATACATACATACATATTATACATATATATATATATATATATATATATATATATATATACATATATATATATATATATATATATATATATATATATATATATATATATATATATATATATATATACATGTTATTATATACATAATATATATATATATATATATATATATATATTATATATATATATATATATATATATATCACACACAAACATATATATGTATAGATATACATATACACATATGTGAATATATACATTCTAAATATGTATTTTATACATTTATCCTAACTCTACCTTATAAACAATGAATATCATAAAATGTTACCCGCTATGCGACATTTAGCAGCAGTTACTCAAGATCCTTGGCGGTTATAGAGAGTGCATTTTGGCCTGCAGCGCTTGCCAAGATTTTTTGCTTCAAGTTGCCCGAAAACGCTCTTCTCATACGGCCATATATTAATATATATATCTATTTATATATCATTATACATCTTGCTTTGTGGTATTCATAGAAAACGCCTACAAGACATACATTCGAGGGACATCGAGAAAAAAACAAAGATATATCTCCAGAACGATTCCGGTCAACAAATCTTGGCAACCGGCCTCGCCAAAATGCACTCTCGTTTCAGTCAAGCTCCGAGCCGCACGCTGGCCCGAGCGAGACAACACAACTGAGGTATAAAGTTCGACATTTCTTGACGTCAATATCTTCTCATATTGGCATTTTCTCACTATCTATTCTCTCTTTTTAACATCTTACATAATTTTTTTTCTCAAATTGACGATTTTCATATTAATTTCCTCTTTCGGCATGCCATCACTTCATTATTTTCATATTTCGACATATTTCATTATTTTCCTGTTTCGACATGCCATCACTTCATTATTTTTCATATTTCGACATGCCATCACTTCATTATTTTCTTATTTCGACATGCCATCATTTCATCATTTTTCCTATTTCGACATGCCATTCATCATTATTTCCTATTTCGACATGTCATCACTTCATTATTTTTCTGATTTCGACATTTACTCACCCGGGTCACATTACACAGTAAAGACCGTCTAGAGAAGAGTATCAGAATTCCAATATGGAACCGAAAGAAATATCATTCATAGGTTTTAAAGTTCCGAGAGATCACATTGAAGAAAAAGAAAATTACAAAATGGCGACACCTCAAAGTCGAGGATGTTCTGAAAGCCTCTGTAATAATACCATGAACTTTACTGTATCTGTAGTCTCCCAAAATGCGTAGACCAGGAATTTTCAAAAGCACCGTTTGATTAACTACTTTATCTATTCTGCAAATTATACCTGGGTAATTCTATCTAATTGAAGAGATAAGGATATTTTCAAGTTCTTGTTAAAATTCAATCCTCCATCTTCTCCTCCTCTGGAGAGTGGAAACTCCAAAATCCAGTATAATAATAACTACCCATTACCTATCCATTTCGCATCCGGAGTGTCCCAAATTCAGGCCATTATAATCATTATATATATATATATATATATATATATATATATATATATATATATATATACATATATATATATATATATATATATATATATATATATATATATATATATATATATATTATAATCATAAATTATAATCATATATGATGAATAAAACATAATTATAAATTATACTATACATACTTCATCTGTAGCTTCCTGGAGGTCAGAGTCCAGGATAATCATAATCATCCTCTATCTACTGACCCTGCATCCAGAGTATCATCATTATACATCCATATCCATATATCTTAGGAGATTCCAAAGCACAGAACCCCAGGATAATCCCGACTCTCCAATCGTTAATCCATCCCCATTCCATCGCAAATCCAGGAAGTCCTCACAGCTCCGTGTCTGTCTCCGCGCCGTCCCTCTCTCCTACAGGCTGGTGACCGCGTGGGGCTGCTCCTTGACCTGCTCCTCCTTCTCCGTGGACTGCTGGCCCGTGTGGAGCAGCACCAGGTCTCGGCCATTCCTCAAGAACGAAGTCCGTGTCGCCTCTGACTCTGGGGACGGAGAATTGCAGGCAGGGGAGGAGAATGCAGGTCGGCAACAGCTGATCGACGACGGGAGAGAACACGCGTGGGTGGGGGGGTGGGAGGGGAGGGGTATCGGAGGAGGTATTGAGGTACGTAGGAGGTGATGGGGGAGGTGAGGGGTATCGGAGGGGGAGGGGGGATTAGAGGGTGAGTAGTAGGGGGGAAGTGGGGGTAGTGAGGAGTGAGGGGATAGGAGGGCGTAAGGAGTGGGATGGGTGTGAGGGGGAGGGTATCCCGGAGGATATAGGAGGTTATTGGAGTAGTAGAGGGTGGGAAAAGAAGTAATGGAGGGCAGGTTATGGAGCGTGGTTAGGATCGTGTGGGGATGTGGGAGGAGGGTTATCGGAGGGAGGGTATTGAGGGTGTTGTAGGGTGGGACGGGTTGGAGGGAAGGGGTATGGAGGTCGGTGGAGGTGGAAGGCGGGTAGTTTAGAGATAGAGTAGGGGAGGCTACGAAGTGGTAGGGTATAGGAGGTTTAGGGAGGTGGGATAGGTGAGGGAGGGGAGGGGGAGAGGTGGGATGGGGTGAGGGTGGGAGAGTCTCTATAGAGGGGGGGTAGGAGTGTAGGTAAGACGGGTCATGGGGGGGGAGGGGTAATTGGAGGGGGTTAGGAGTAGGGAGGGGTGGGAGGAGAGTAAAAGAAATACCGATTAGCCGAGAGTCCGCAGTGTAGGTTTAGTTGGGCGTGTCTGACGGGAGAAAATTATTTTCAAAGAATGAGGTTGTTTGACCCTCACGAGCGAAGGAAATTATCGAAAATTAGGGGAGGAAGTACAGAGAGGAAAAAAGAGCCCGAAGAGAGAGAGGGAGGAGGTAATAGATAGAGAGTGAGAAATAGCCAGAAGGAAGGTGAGGGGAGAGGAGAGAGGAGAGGACGAAGGGAGAGACGAGGAGAGAGAGAAAGAGGGCGGAGAGAGAGAGAGAGCAGAGAGAGAAGAGAGACGGAGGAGAGAGAGTGAGAGGAAGAGAGGATGAGAGAGAGGTAGAGACGAGAGAGGGAGAGAGAGAGAGATAAGCAGAGAAAGAGAAGAGAAGAGGAGAAAGAGGAGAAAGAGACGGGAGGACGACAGAGAGAGGAGGAGAGACGAGAGGAGACGGAGAAGAGAGAGGAGACGAGGGATAGAGAGAGGGAGAGAGAAGAGAGAGAGAGCAGAAAGAGAGAGAGAGAGAGACGAGAAGAGGAGAGAGGAGAAGAGAGAAGAGGAGACGAGAGAAAAGAAAGAGAAGAGGGGAGAGAGAAGAAAGAAAAAGTGGAGAGAGAAGAGAGAAGGGAGAGGGAGGGCGAGAGGAGGGAGATGCTGAGAGAGAAGAGGCCGAGGAGGAGAGAAGAGAGAGAGAGAGGATTGGACGAAAGAGAGTAAGAGTGAGAAGAGAGAGACGGAGAGAGAGAAGAGAGGAGATGAGAGGAGGGGAGAGGAGGAGGAGGGAGGAAGGAGAGGAGAGAGAGAGAGGAAGGAGAGAGAGGAGAGAGAGAGAGAGAGAGGAGAGAGAGAGAGAGAGGAGGAGAGAGAAGAGAGAAGCGAGCGAGAGAGGGAGAGAGGAGAGAGAGAGAGGGAGAGAGAGAGATGAGAGGAAAGAGAGAGAGGAGAGAAGAGAGAAAAGGAGAGAGAGGAAGAGAGAGGAAGAGAGAGAGAGAGAGAGAGAGAGAGAGAGAGAGAGAGAGAGAGAGAGAGAGAGAGAGGAGAGAGAAGAGAGAGAGAGAGAGAGAGAGAGGATCTGACTGATCGGAATTAAATCCAAGTATTTTCCTCCCGACATCCCTCGCCTGATTGGCAAATGGTTTGTGAATGTCTAGTTAGATGGAAACCAAAGACTAATGGTTTCTCTCTCTCTCTTTCTCTCTATCTCCCTCTCCCTCTCTCTCTCTTGACATCAAATATATATAAAAACAACACAATAAACACACACACACAAAAGAAAAGACACACATGCGCGCGCGCCGCACGCACGTCCCCTCCAAGCACACACACACGCCCCCCCCAACACACACACACAACTCAAACACACACCCACACATACACACACGCGCACGCTCCGCCCCCCCCCCACAAAACACACCACACGAACGCTCCCTCCCCCCCCCCACAAAACACACACACAAACGCAGAAACACACAAGCACGCCCAGCCCACAGACACACACACACAACAACACCCCCCCCCCTACACACACAAACGCACACAAACACACACACACACACACACAAAACACACACACACACACACACACACACACCACACACAAACACACACTCCCCCCTCCCCCCTACACACACAAACACACACACAACCCCCCTCAAAACCCCGCAAGCGACTCACCAACATCCCGCTTGGCAGG